GGACTATATCCCTGTGTTACGAGTACTGCCTTCCTTTGGACCTTGATATTTTTGTCTCTATCCTTTGTATAAAGAACGCTGCTCCTGGGGTTCCTCTGGGGAGGCACTTTTATTACCTCTCTCCCCGCCGCGGCTATAAGGTCTTGTATGAGCTGCCGAATAAGATTCCCGCCTGGAAGCAGGATTACTTTGTGGTCCGTAACCCCAAGGGGTGGCCCTTCCCCACTGCTTGGAGGGGCGCCACTCAGGACCTCGAGGCCGAGTTGGACCTAGAGACTCGGAAAACGATGCTGTCCTGGGCGTCGGTAGGCTTCCTTTGCTCTGACTACATGACCGAGGAGAAGCTCGTGCAGGCAGGCTTGNTCTGTCGAGCCGGTCCTACCCTCTCCTCCGCCCGAGGTTCCGATTCCCCCTCCTGAGGGATCTAGTGGGATCAACCCTGGGGGTGACGAGCTCCCTCAGCCGGGGGAGGCGCCCTACAACCCCCTTCARCCCCATCCTTACCCCCGGTTCCCAGTGGGAAACTGGGAAGGGGTAAATGATTATCTGGTAGCTCGTCGGAGGAGTCGGAAGGCAATCACTAATGACGAGATCACCTAGTGGGGAAACATGGAGCCCGATGACCTCTGCGTTCGCCTCTGCTCATTGCATGGTGGTAAGTGACCTTTTTCCCTTTTTCTCTCTTGTTTTGCCCTTTTTCGCTGTCTTCTGATCTTCTTTTTCGTCGATAGGTAAATTCCGCCATCCATGCCATGGCTCTCCAAACGTGCATCCATCGCGTCGACGCCCTCGACTAACGGGCTGCCAACCAGAAGCTCCAGGGCGAGCTCCATCACACCCGCAAGTGGAGCGAGTCTCAGGAGCTGCTCGTCCACGACCAGGAGGCTCAAATTGCCCGGCTTGCTGAAGAGAGCGCACGTTATAGGGAGGAATCGTTGAGGATGGCGGCGGAGAAGGAGCTCCTCAGGCAGCAGGTGCGGGAATTGGAGTCCACTCTTCTGAATTGGACTCGAAAC